CTAAATTTCTTGTCTGTTCTTTGGAGAATGGATTCAAACATGCAGCATATATACGAGCACTAAGTTGAGTCGTTCGACGAGGAGGACTACACGGATGAAACGGCGATGATGCAAGCAATCCTTGCAGACGCGAAGCATGCAGAAGAGCATGTCCTCAATATCTAAGGATCGATCAAGGGTCATCGAGTGCTCAATCATGACAGGGCATGGGGCTATTCAACGCTAATGGGCGGCTACCTTGCCCCCACTTTTCGCTAGCTCTTTTGAATGTGAAAAATGTCTTCGATCGCCTCTAACATGCGTCTCGTCCTTTGATGACTACTTCATCTTGAAGAAGGATGCCATAGGAATGATTAGATCTCTGATTACCAGAAGTGCACGTCGCATTACAATAGGATCTCACCAGAAAGAACCTCCTTGTAGTATAACTATCAATGGACATGAATACAACATGGACTACTATCTGACGATATCCATCATCATCAGCTATCTTGGTCCAAAAAAGGTCTCACAGGTAGAGACGATGTGAAGAGGGCATTTCGAATGCTCCAGACCAACTTTGCAGTTGTTCGTGACCTGCTAAACATTTGGATGCAGAGACCTTATGAAATGTCATGACATATTATGTGATCATGCACAACATGATCGTGAAGAATGAGGGTGAAGATGATGCCACATCTTATGAATTTGAGAAACATGGATGATCCTGTCGAAATTCCATATCAAAATCCAGCCACATTTAGTGAGATTGTTCAAATACATCAACAGATTCATGGTCACGTAACTCAAGGGAGATTTGACTGAGCACCTGTGGAGGGTTAAATGGGACAACTAAACATATGTAGTTAAATTCAAGTTTGAACTACTTTAATTTGTAAACTTTGTTGGGTTGTAATTTTTTAATCAGAACTACTGTCGCATTAAACATTTTAAATCATTTATGATTTGATATGTTGTTATTTTGAGCTTGCACACTTAAAAAAGGCGAAAGTTTAGGGGACAACTATGGATGGCTGGCTCCCACGTCACCACAAACTAGTCCTCACCAGTCCATGGCGGCAGTTTAGGGGACAACTTTGGATGGCAGGCTCCCACCAGTCTATAGGGTGTCCGATTTGGGGGGGTCAGCATTGGAGGAGCCCTAATACTCTAGAGCAACTGGCACAACCTAATCTATCAACAATACAGCCCACGTAATAAGAGTCACGCACCTCTTGGACGATATTCTGCTCATAAATATCACAATCACAAATACACTGACTCTACCCTATCAACAATGATGGGATCCAGGACTTCGCTGATCGGTACATAAGTAACAGGGCACCAGGAAGCCTAAGTAAATAAAAATTAAGCACCACGCACCATAGACAACCAATGAGTTCTGAGATACTTTCAGTGCCTTGATCTGCTTCTGTACCTGCAGTACTACCGCTCTTCAGATGGTATGCATCTTTAAATCTTCTGGAACATACCTATCCACCATGAATTACCTTGGAGAGTGAGAGGGTGACCTTGAACAAGACAGTGAAAGTGAATGGTTTCTTCTTGGGCTTCGGCTCCTACTACGGCTTCTGCTATAATGCCGCTTTCTGCACAGGAACAGTAAACATCTGGCGCTATCAACAAAATCATAGTATCATGGTAAGAATATATCTTTGGCTGGAAATAGCCTTCAATGAACCATTTGCAATGCATAGAAAATGCAGCAACTTCTATTAAAGTCATCAATTAATGGGATTGATTCAAAGTACCTTGGTGAACGGCTAAGACTTCTACTCCTGCTACGGAGCCTGTATCGACCTACTTCTGCAAGTTTTTCCTGCCTTTGCCGTTCCTGTTCTCGTTTCTTTGCGGTCTCAGCAGCAGTGTCTTTCCGAACTGTAGCACAAACAGAAACTTAATATAAATTGCATATGAAGATAAATGACCAAGATTTCCCAGGATCACTATCGCAGATAAGAATGAAAAAGAGAAGTAACAAAGACATACTTTGTTTGTTAAGCTGTTTGCTCATTATCCTTTTAAGACGTTCCTGTGGTGTTTCTTTCTTTTCAGCCTGGGGAGTTTTACCAAGTCCTCCAGAAGCACCCTTTAGTTTCGCTAGTGCTGATGATGTGCTGTTGACCATAAATGCATCACAGGTTAGTACATGCCTACAAAGAGCAACTACAACAAGACCTAGCAAAAGTGAGCCCCTAAACGTCCGCGGATGCGTTCGGAAGCGTCTGCGGACAGTGTCCCGTCATCCCTCATTCTCACACATTGCAACTACACTCCCCATTTTCACAATGACCATTTGATCTACGTACATAAACAAACTAGCAAACTAGCTACTCGTCATTGGATATGTCGGTCGATGACCTGGTTGCCGCAGCCGCTGGCCTCATTCTCATTGGCGGCGGGGCGAATCTACAGCGCCTCCTCCTCCGCGAAGAGCTCCTCACGCTTCACATTCGCCTCGCCGATAAAGCAGCGGTTCACCGCCACCTCGAGCTCAGACTGGATGGACTCGAGGATGGCCTGCTACTCCTCCGCCTCCTACGCTTGGATGAGCTTGAACTGCGCATGCACGTCCTCCATGACAAATCCGACCTGCTCTAGCGCCTCCGGCTCACCCTCCTCTCCCGCCTCTTCCTCTATCTCCTTGTCCGGCGCCTCCTCCAACATCTCCTACTTTGGCGCCTCCTCCATCTCCTGCTCCGGCACCAACACCACCTACTCCTCAAACTCCGTCGAGCTCGGAGGCAGGCAGGCCACAATGCGAGCAGCCTGGATCTCCAGGGTTAGCATTTTGTAGTACATAATCTTGCATCGAACCATGGCGATTGGTGGACAACGAGGCCAGAACACAAAGGGAGAGGGAAGCGACGTCGAGGTGGCAGCGCGAACAGGAGAGAGAGGGAGGAAATGGGGACGGCTAGGCTTGAGCTCCGCCGTCCAGCTTAAATAGCCAGGCTTGGCCCCTCGAACAGCGCGCCGGAGCAGCAGCATGAATGCGGACCAGTAACCTTTTGTCGAACGCATGGCTTTCCGCATGGGTCCCGCCCGTCAGTCACGTGGAGGACGCGTCCGGGCCTCCCCAAATCCGCCCCACATATGGGATGGGATTGGAGGTGCCGAACGGCCCGGATGTTTGGGCCAGGTAGGGGATACGGTTGGGTGGCAAATTCATGACCGGGCAGTGACCGGACCGTCCGGGCGGACATATGGGACAGGTTTGAGGGGTCCGGTTGTAGATGCTCTAAGACCGAAAATAGACATAGCATCCTGGCAACAGATAAATGCATGACTGCAAATAAGTTTAAACTCTTATAGACAAATATAGCATACCAATTCAAACAGCTTGGTTGCACATACAGCTTCTGTGTTTGTAAGGATGTAATCATGTTGACAAACCTGGCAGGTGGTTTCAAAATTTTAGCACTTTTTTCCTGTTCCATGGATAAAGAAGATGCAGGATCACTGTGAAGTGCCTCCAGAATATGGACACCTGATGACCTGCAAAAATGAAGGAGTGTTATAGGCAAACAAAAAAAAGTAGGAGCGGAGATACTTAGGTCAGAAGCTCCACAGCTGATGGTAGGTTTATGCATGCTAGATCTTATATCTTTCACATATCATGTCTATCTACAAATCAGTTACTCCATCCATCCAGGTTTATAAGACCTATTATTCCTGTCCCAAGTCCAAGTAGTTTAAGTTCGACCAAATTTGTCTAGATCTTGTGATATTGACTTTGGAGTTGTTTAGTTAGGTTTACTGTGGCTTTAATTATAAGCCAAAAAGCACCTATTTGAAAACCAAAGCCAAGGAGCATGCTTTCAAGCCAAAAACTAAAAGCCACAAGTTAAGCCTAACCAAACACCACCTTGGTAGCATGGATGCTACTTTTTTTTCAATAAACTCAGTCAAATTTAAAATGGTTTGACTTAAGACAAGATTAACAGGTGTTCCTAACCAAACAACTCAGTATAACTTGGATGGAGGGAGCATAGTTTTATGCCAAAAGTAGTACCCTCTTAACCTTGTCTTCACCTATCCTAATCCTGACATATTTGGCTTTTAAGATAATAATAAGACCATGACACTAAGCTGCACTGGATAAATGACAGCAATTGAATCTTTTTGCAAATATTAAAGGTCAAGTTCCCCGACCGGTTAGGTATGTCAGCTCGTATTGGAGACGAAGGCGGAGAGATCCCTGTAACTTTCAGATCACTGGCATCTTCTGAACCTCCAAATTCAGTGATGTATTCAACTCTTGGAGGCTTAGCCTTGCTTCGGTAATTACTATCAGCATGTGTACCATGGGTATGACGTCTGGATGAAGGTGAATGAGATCTTGACCGGGACCTTGATCTGTCAAACAAAATATCATGCAGTCAAGCAAAGCAAAGAGCTTATGGTAGATCCAACCAACAAGAAGGATAGTAGCATACCTTCTGCCTCTTGAATATGCTTCATATGATGGGCTTCTCCTTTGTTCCCTTAATTATAATATATATGATGTTAAAAGATTCAGACATGGTAGTCAGTAAAACTGTCACTGTTATTTCGATTTACCCATTCAAAAGCTGACAGACACTGTTACCTATAAGGGTCACGATAAGATACCCTTCCAACAGAACGTACTGCCTCCCTCTCTCGCTCCCTCTCAGATTGAGAAGCCTTCCTTCTATCTCTCCGACTCATTTTTTTCTGTATAATTTCTCATGTTATTTCCTACAAAATGCAAATAAAGACACTTATCTGAAGCTATTTAAGTACTGACAATGGATGGGTCGCCTTTAATAATTTCTTTCTGCCGCTTCTCCTCTTCTTTGACCTTTTTGTCCATGTAAACAAGCCAGTTATATCTTTTTATGCCAAATTCCTTTGCTAAGTTTTCCATTTGCTCATCACTGCTATCATCACTACTGAAGTCCTTGCCATCCTCTTCTCCTTCCTCTTCATCTTCATCATCACTGGGCACATCAGAATGTTCATTTCCATCCCCTTTATATGAGTATCCAACCTGCGAATAAGCACCTTTGCTAACTGGAGCCTGTGATGATTGAGATCTGTTGGAAACAAGAAAATAAATGAAGCATAAACTGGGTGCACTGAAAGGAACTGGCAGACCTAATAATAAAAGTAAAGTCTAACTAACATAGTCATATTTTCATCATAGCAACAATGTTAATTACATCAAATAATAATAAAACAAGAGTAACTTCCGCAGAATAACATACAATAGAATATTGTCATAAAACTTAAACTGAAATTTCCATCTCACAATTATTTTCTAAAACCTGGCATACAAGATACAACCTCTAGCTTTGTGATAGTTTTTCCAAGAATTGTAGTTTTTTGAAATTTACTCTAGAAACAGACAAACACGAGCTCCGGGGGTTATACTCAGTAACAACGTAATAGACCTCGATACCCGAGGGTTATATTCAGTAACAACATAATAGACCTCGATACATAACTCTGGTTTACTTCAGTGCAATGGAAAAACATTATAACTGGTCTTCCATTGGTAAATCTTGTTCTGCTTTCAAGTGGCTGGTCCAACAAAGGGTTTAGTTTTTAGCTTGTGTTACAGGCTGGCTTGATAAACTTTTGAGCTGTGGACAATTAAGCTAATTAATTTGATTAAACTTGCAACAAAAGCAATTGTGTTTCCCTGAGCTGGCTTATCCGTGAATCTGAAAGTACCATGCTCATATTGGCACATCCACTCAAGATGAATAGCTTTAAATTCATATATGGCTTTTCCTCAGAAACATTTGTAAGGACAAGACATTATATGATCCTTCAATATTGGTGTGGCCTTTCCAAGAAGAAAACTCTACATTATGTCAATATATGACCTGTCGATATGACCAAATGGGTTAACTTATTTCAATTTTAGAAAGTGCTCCTATGCTCGAGAGACATAAATGCACATATTAACAGAATCAGGAGTGGGGACAATCTTTGTCATATGCATCACCCATTAGTAAACATAGATATCATATGATTTACTTATGCATGTTCCATTTGGTCAAGCACAGAAGCACTCCACTTCAACTCTTATGGGTGGCACTTAAGATATCCATTTAAGCAGATAAGGCTAACATATAATCTAAAATTGATGAGTAGACTTACTTCTCAAAGCTAAAAGGAAGAATAGCTTTTGCTGCCAACTCTTGCGCAATATGTTGTAAACCCGCCTCATCAGAAACTGCAGAGGAAGGCAAATAACTGTCTGGGTAGGTAGCATTAGAAAGTGAAAAGACCAGACAGATGGAAAAGTGAGATCCTTTACATCAGGACGAACCCATAAGTAAGCAAATGGAAGAGTGACAGCAAATCATACAACAACAGCAACAAAATTGAGAAACCAAAAAGGTACCGACATCCTCTACGACGATGCTTAATCAAGTCCCGGTAACGTTCAAAATTAACAAAATCCTCTAGCTCCTCCTCTTCTTCAGATTTTTCCTGAGTTTGAAAAGACCGAGGGCTAGAGTCACGGATGAAGTCAAGTAGTGCACGGCCATCAAATCTGCACATTAAGAGAATGGATATAAATTTTCTTGCTCTTAACATGGTTTAGCAACTCAGATAATACATACCTGTCAATCAGAATATCTTGTTTCCCGTTCCATGGTATCCTGCAGTACAATGAGTACAGTAAATCAGTGGTTCAAATGCTACATTCAAGCGGACATGTAGCGATTTTCTCTTTCTAGATAAACTCAACCAGAAACAGAGACACACATAATATAATTGAAATATTCAAAACTTGTGTCGGAGCTATATGTTAGCCATGTCATTGTCATTTTAAACAAAATTCGAACTGAACCTACTTTGGTAGTACTCCAGCACATGTGAGATGAGTTTTTAGGGTCATGTAACACATTAGACACATATATCAGAACTCACAAACATGTCCACTTTCATCCGTACTAAAAATCTACTCCCTCCGTCCCATAATATAAGAACGTTTTTGACACTAGTGTAGTGTCAAAAACGTTCTTATATTATGGGACGGAGGGAGTAAAACACAAACAGCTGCTATGTCTGCCTCATGTACATGTTGTCCTAAATATATTTACAATACAATTCTTTGCGTATGCGCTAATGCCGCCTAGATTTAAACCCATTTGGATGAACAAATTTCAGTCATAACATAAAAACGGCTACAGTTCAAACGAGATGAAATGCTCTGAAAAATAGAGAGTTTTGCTATCAATGAGCTTGCTTCTACAACTATGCGGGAAGAATAAATTTAGCTAATTTTCTAGAGCAAGCATGAAAATTCTGTAAGCTCCAACATTATTATCAGCATGTGCAAAACCAAATTCCTGGTTTCCTGCAACACAGGGCCAAAACTAAATATTTACACAATATAAAATCTGAGCACCTACTAAACCAATCACAGCTAGGAACTGATCAATCTATGCTTCAGCACGTGGCTGAATCCAATCTATTACAAAAAAAAAAAACATTTTGTCAACTTCCCCACACCATCAAACGGGCCCAATCAACTCTAGAAAATACCACACTTTATTTGGCACATTCACAAACAAGTAAATATGCCGCCTTGAAAATGGAAACAAAATCCTATGCACCGATAGCCAGCGTCCTAACTATTCATAGAAGAGACGGGTTACAGAAACGTAATAGATACAATCTAGCCAATTGATGAATTACCGGTGTACAGATACTGGTTTACTACAAACACTTGCAAGAGGAATCTATTCGTTGCACGATATCATGAAACTTAATCTGCATCCATTAGACAGCACTGCCGATCCATCAGATGGACAGCTAATTCGACCAAATCCAGCATGCTGCTGTCATAACAAACAACACAGCCCATCACATGACATCAACTGGACAGACGGAGTGTGCGTGAGAGAGCGGCGGCACGCACAATCCCTGCTGGTCCTCGGTGGCCTGATATAGTGAGTCGTCGCGGTGGACGCGGCACCGGGCGCCGGAGACCTGGAGGGACTGGTGCGGATCGCCGCGGCGGCGGGCGAGGTAGGCGTAGCGCCGCTGGGCCCGGCGCCGCGCACCGTCCATGAGGTCGTGGACCTTCCGCTCCGACCGCCGCGCCTCGTGCCACATCGCACCCCTCCTCCCGAAAGGTTCTGGAAGCTCTGGGGAGGCGGTTCTGCATTAACCTAATCCTAATCCTAGACGAAGATGCCAGAGGATGCGCCGCAACGGTGGAAGAGAGGTGGCCAAACGGGCCGGCCCGGCCGATTGTAATCGTGCCTGGCACCAGGATGCGCCGCAACGGTGGAGGAGAGGTGGCCAAACGGGCCGGCCCGGCCGATTGTAATCGTGCCTGGCACGGCCTGTGTAATAATCATCCTCTGGCGGGCCGGGCCGGGCCGGCCCGCGTGTTGCAGTCTGCAGCCCAGTCATGGCCCAACTGATAATTGGGCCGGCCTGTCAGGCACGCTGGCCCACCTGCTGTTCGGCCTATTTGACTTTTTTGGCCTATTTTTTCCTACTAGGCTAGTATTAGGTCATAGTCATGTCGGCCCGCGTGCTCAGCCTAGCAGCACAAGCACGACCCATGGCATACCGCGTGCCGGGCCCGATCTGTTTAGCCCGTGTCGTGCCTGCCCATGGCGGGCCGTGCCGGCGTGCTTGTGGGCTGGCCTGATTGGCCCGCCCGTTTAGCCAGCTATACGGTGGAGAAAGATAGGTGACCAAGATGTCGAAACCCCACGACCGAGAGGGCTCCTCTCGAAGGGGGCCACATGTCACCCAAACCAAATTTGCCACAAGCACCTGAGCTTTGGGTTGACTACGTCAAGTTCAGTTTGCATCCTCTGCATAGTGTAAATTACAGTAGGCCCAATCTATATCTAGAAAAACGATTGATCTGAGCGTTCCTCGCGAGCGAGGCTGAGAGCGCTTTAAGTTTCATGCGGGTCAGTTTCTATGTGCGAGCTAGGCAACCAAAACAACTCACTACTTAGCACGTCGGAGTCAGGTTGGGTTTGATGCAGCCTACCAAAACCGTCCTAGCATATCCGTTAAAGTTGCATCCCCTAAAATCCGTTTGCATGAGGCTTATAAAAATTTTGCGGGGTGAGTTTACACGATCTATTTTGCGCCAAAGACCTCGGGGTACCGCAAATTTCTCCGAGCTTTGCAAAATCATGATTTTTAACAATATAAACCCAATAGAATCGCAATATCAATTAAACGTATGAAAACAAATGATCCGAAACGCAATTCACAATACAACAATCGTCTTCATTACAACGAATGTTCGAATAGAAATAGTTATTACAACAACAAATTGTTCAAACCTCACACAAATACAACAACAAATTGTTCAAATTAAAATAAGAGTCTATCTCCCATAGAGTTGCCACTGATGCTCAAATCTTCTTGAAGCTGGTAGTGTGAAGAAATGTAGTGATCTCATTTGCATCTTCGACAGGCTTCACACAGCTACCAACATTGTCATAATAAAACACTAAGTCCAAATCCCTCTCATCCTCGATGACCATGTTGTGTAAAATTACACAAGCAGTCATTGTCAGTGTCTAAGAACCTGGCATTGGGTTGTTAGCTACAACCCATTGTAAATTCGGCCAGTGACTGAATGTGTCTCGCTTTCTAAGTGAGCGATCGTTGGAGGTGGAAGAATAAAATGTAGAACACACAAGAACTACCCAGGTTCGGGCCACCGTTGTGTTGTAATACCATACTCCTGCCTTTGGTATGATATTTCTCAGAGTTGGCTATGATAGATGTGTTGAGTTGCTTGTGAATCAGTTGCCTCCTAAGGCAGTCGTCCTTCCCTATTTATATTACTCTGAGGGCCCCTCTCTCCCTTAGGGGGGAGGGCTCTCATTGGCTAGGTATAAACAAAGTAGGAGGTAGCATGCCCAGGACAAGCATGCTCGGTTGCTTGCAGCTCGGTCGTCCGTGCAAGGATGATTGATGTCGGGGCAGCGTATTAGCCACGTGCGGAGCAGGTGAATCTTCGGGTGCCACTATTGATAACCTCGCCTTGTCGGAGCCCATGCGTTGGGGACGATTCATGACACGCCCCTTCACAACCATTGGCGTAGGTAGCACTTGAGGGGGGAATGGGCCGCATTTAATGCTTCTAACTTTAGGATTTTTGTTACTTGTGAGGCGAAGGACGGTGATGCAGAATGGCTTCCCGGGGCTCCAGGAGGTGCTTCTCGGGGCCGAGAAGCCTATGGAGCGTCGTGTGCCATTCTTAAGAGGCACGCGTTTGGAACCTCCCAAAGTAAAACTTCATCATCATTGTTTTGGGAGTAGTCTTGTCTTGGGGACCACAGTCAAGCTCTAGGTCTGTAGGCCCGTGGTACCCCGGTTCCTATTGGGCTTACAGTAGCCCCCCGGCCCATCTTCCTCCGCGTGGGTCCACGGTCGCTAGGAGGGAGATGCGGCCTAATAGCACTGGGGGCTTGACACGTGGCAACTTCCGTCGCCTTATGAGGACTAGCATCAGCAGCCCCCGTTACATCACATTTACCACGGGGTAATGGATTACCTCATGGAAAAATGGGGTGCCTCCTTGATTCTCGCATCATGCCCGTTGTACCACCTTGGGGGGTGGGGATCGTGGAGCGTATTGTTAGTGTAACGCCCGGATAATTAGGCTACAGTAAAACTCTCGTAATGATGCCATGTCATCTATGTTACTGTTGCTAATCAAATGTTAGTTCAAAACATTTCAAATTCAAAAATGAATTAGTGACAAACACCCAAAGTTTTCAAAAGTTGAAACAAAAATGTTCGGACAATGCCAAATATGGCATAGGCAATTATGGTGTAGATGACACAATTTTATAAAATACTTAAATGCCCAAATTAAATAGAACAGAAAACAAAGCTAAAAAGAAAAGGAAAAGAAAAGGAAAAAGAAGAAACCGCCCTTCCCTCCTGGGCTGAAAGGCCCAGCTAGCCAACAGCCAGCCACCCAACCGGCCCAGCCGACCCAGCTCCCCGCACCGCACCCTCTTCCTGTTCCTCGGTTGCGCGCCGCTACAGGGCACGGTCGCCACCGGACCCCCTCGCCGGCATCGAGGAGGGGATAAGGTCGCCACGCCTCCGCCTCCTCGATTCCGCCTCCCACTCGCCCATACTCTCGCCCTCGGTCCCTGTGCCTCTTCCTCTCCCCTCAGATCTACCCCGCTCTCCTCTCCCATCGCATCCGAGCACCGTCATGGACCCGCCGCCGTGAAACGCGTGGCCACAGCCACCACCTCACCTCGCCAGCGTGTGCGTCGTCTCCGCCATCGTCTTCCTCATCGACCGGTGGCCGCAGCTGGAGCTCGGAGGCGCTGCTGCAACGGCCCCCTTCTTCCCCATCTTCGGCGACACCCCCCTGCAGCTACTAAACCCCCAAGGGCCACCGTGTGCGCCGCTCGGTGAGCCCCGCTCCCTCCCCTCTCTCTCTCTCTCGTCGGCATTCGCTAGTTGAACGCACCGCCCCCAACTTGCCCGAGCGCGTCGCCGCTCGCGCTCGTCGTCGGCAGCCGTCCGGTGACCATTTGGTCCCGAGCTCGTGACGTTGTGCTCGCAGGTGCACGTAGGCCTCGCCCCATCATTCTGTTTTCCCAATAGCGCACCGCATCGCCGTTGCCGTTACTCGCCCGAAACGCCCCGCCGGCGGGGACGTCGTGCTGCTCGTCTCCGGCCACCTCCGGCCACGCCACTGGTCCTAGTAGACGCGGCATCGACTCCCCGTTCGAACGCAACCCCCTGCGTCAATTTTGGTGGCCCGTAGCCAAACCCCGCGGCCTCCCGTGCGCCGCCACCGCGTTTTGCCTCGTCGGCGACCATTCCGGCCACCCCGTCGTCATGCTCCCCTCCATCAGACGCGGCGCGAAGAGGCCGTTCCAGAGAGCCTGGCCGCGCCCGATTTGGTGCCGCGTAGGAGAATCCCGACACTCGCCGGCGTTCGGTCGCTGCACGCGAGCTCATCAGAGCTACTTAGGCGGCTCCGCTGAGCTGGCACACCGGGGCCCACCCCTGGGTCACTGCATGTGGGCCTGGGGGGCCCAACTGGCCACGTTGACCGAAGTCAACTACTCTGACGTGGCAGCTACTGCCACTGACATGCGGGCCCCATGCCATAAAACGAATAAAAACAAATAGATAAACTGCTAATTAATTAAATTAATTAATTAAAACATAATCTCTCACTGACTACTGGGCCCCACTTGCTAATCAACCCATTTAGTTAGTTTTAAAACTCTATTAATGCCCCTGACAATGACATGTGGGTCCTACTGGTACTGGACCCACATGTCTGGTTTGACTGGTCAACCGACCAGTTGACCTGCTGACATCACTGTGATGTCATGCCTGTGTCATCATGCATTGTTCTGGATAATGTTGGATTTAAATAAATAATTAAAATCAGAAAATGATTAAATCTTTAGAAAATCATATAAAATAATCCGTAACTCGGATGAAAATACTTTCAACATGAAAGCTGCTCAGAACGACGAGACGAATCCGGATACACAGCCCGTTCGTGCGCCACACATCCCTAGCATAGCAAACACGTAACTTTCCCCCTCTGGTTCATCTGTCCGAAAATGCGAAACACCGGGAATACTTTCCCGGATGTTTCCCCCCTTCATCGGTATCACTTACTACCGTGATTGGGCACACCTAGCATCGTTACTTGTCATGTCATGCATCGATATGCATCTGTTTGCATGGTATTCATTGTTTCTTCCCCCTCTTCTCTCCGGTAGACTACGAGACTGACGCTGCTGCTGCCCAGTTCGACTACGGAGTTGACGACCCCTCCTTCTTGCCAGAGCAACCAGGCAAGCCCCCCCTTGATCACCAGATATCACCTATTCTTCTCTATACTGCTTGCATTAGAGTAGTGTAGCATGTTACTATTCGGTTACTCCTATTCTGTTGCATAGCCTGTCATTGTTGCTACATTCATTGATACCTTACCCGCAATCCTAAATGCTTAGTATAGGATGCTAGTTTATCATCATTGGCCCTACATTCTTGTCAGTCTGCCTTGCTATACTATTGGGTCGTGATCACTCGGGAGGTGATCACGGGTATATACTATACATATATACATACTATAT